AATATCTACCATAAAGACTTATTTAGATTTTTTACAACAGAATACTTTGATTAATTGTATAAATACCTTTTATATAGACGCCAAACGAAACAATGTATGAAATGTGATGCAAGAACAAAAGTATCTTAAGTTGTAAAAGGTGTCTTCAAGATTTGAAACAAAAAAAAAGAAAATTATCTAGTTTAAACATGTTATATTGCTTCTAAATAGACTAATGTTGTTCGCGGTGAATGACGTCATTTTTACAATAATTTGACAGATTTCAATTTTATTTTCAAATAAATAATGAATACAAATTGAATTCTAGTCCAAATTAAAGTTTATGCATGCAGGTTTATGCATAAAATATGTTATAATTTAACAGCATACCGAGGGATAGTAAACACATCATTGGGGATAAATGTTTGCCAAATGTTCCAAATATATTACATATTTTCAGAATATAAACAAATATTTTATATTTGCAAATAATCTTTCCTTAGAAAAATCATGATTACTTGAATATCTGTACACTAATTTACAGTTGTTTTGGGATGTCTATGAAGTTTCATAGGATTAATTAATAAACCAAACTTTCTTTTTATTATTTACAGAGAAGAGAAAACAGCCCGTTTATTGTCTCAGAAAACAATTTAAACAAAGTTTGATATCATTTCAGGAGATAATGAAGTATCTTTATGTAATGTAGTTATCAGAACGCAAAACAAAGATTTTATGAAAATAATTCTTACTCATCCTTTTTTTAATTATAAAAGTACAACGCAAAGTCAAGAGCAGTAATCCCAACAATTAAAGTATATTTGTATTCAAATAAATACCTCTTAAATTGAATTAAATATTTCATCTATCTTGTTTTATGTTTATCAAACTTCATGTTTCAATCTTAACCGATATAATAATGTATATTGATACTTTCAACTTGGTGCAGCAAGTGGTTTAACACAAGTGAAGAAATATACTTCTGCAAAGGTTTTATAAGGTATTGTTTACCGCCAAATAATATATTTCGGTCTTGAAACCAAAAATAATACTGATTAATATTTGATAACCCTTTATAACATTCTAATATCTATTATTATTATTTTGTACACTGTGAAATATTTCATTACATTTTCGTATAAATATTCTATTATATAATAACAAATAACCTATTTATTACATATCCGGATGTGTTGATTGTGAAAAGAACAATTATACAAATTAAGAACACATGGTTGCATGACGTTTCAGAAGGCATAATATTCTAGTGTTTAATATATCGAAAATCTAGTTAGAGTAGTCGTACAGGACATTTGCCAAGTGCATGTGATAGATAAATAATGACAGTTTTCGATAAATTATTTTTTAGAATTGTTCTTCTTAACTTATGTAACAGTTATTGATTATCTTGAAGCATTTTCTATATGATAATTCAATTTATGTTTTGTAATAATAGTAAATAAGTGGGATGGTTTCCGGAGAATGAAATAACACACCTTATTAAATATTGCATTAACAAGCTATACAATTGTCTGTTGCATTCAGATCTACTAAGGGTACGTGAAGCATATTTCCAGAATAATTTTTCATTCTGCATCAGATAAACATCAATGAAGCTAATTTGTTAGGTAAATTAAAACATTAAAGTCAACATAATTCATATTAATGATATACATCACATTTATTTTTCCTTACAGCTTTTGTATTTTTGTCCCGCGTAATTGATGGTTTTGTTAACAAATTGTGTATACTCGAATAGTTTCTTTTCCAGTAGGGTAATATTGTATTTATCGTTTCTTTGTAAGCTTAATCAAGATGTATACTACCTCATTTGGTTTGTAATAAAGATGTTGGTTTAACTGTAATGCTCATATTGTTTTTTAATCGAGCGTTTAATTACGGTAGCCGGTCCAGTATATTCCGCTTTTACAACTGGTGTACAACTGTGTTTTAAGGAAAGCTACTCTTTTTCTTCCATATGACACAATTTCCATCCGTATTGATTATAGACAAAATCGTATATAGTTGCAGATCTCACAGCAACAAAAACAAGTCACAATCTATGTATACCTATAGAATGGACGTATGTAGGTATATGTCTAAAAGTAAATATACATCAAGCAATTTAGTACATTGTAGTAATGTAAGAGAGCAAGTTTCACAATCAAATACTCGGTTAATACGAATAGATTATATACATATACACAGATTATCTAATAATCTAATAGCTACATACTCATAAAGTAACAGATGAACAGAGTTTCAAAAATTGCTATAGACAGCAACTATATTAAACAATGGACTATAATATGAAGTATAGTCTTAACAAATACTTATGCCAATTAGAGACAACAGAGACTAAGATTATTGAAAGCACTTTACAAAATTATATGTATGCTGAGTAAATATATCGTAAGTTTTAGAAATTTGAATAAGAAACAGTTTACTGTGATTAATCAGGAGATATGGCTTGAATAATACAGTCCCGTAGTCTTTATTTTTCCTTGAGGGCTCATATTATTCGTAGTAAATGTATGCAAAATAATAGATAAGCATGTTCGACGAAATCGATCAATACATTAACGATGGTGTTAATTTTCTATGCAACAAACATATTCAACCTCAATTTGAGTCCGTATGAGTAGTACATGAAGCAGTGGCTTTATGTAAGTTTACTTATTGGATTGTCAAAAAGTTGAATAAAAAAGGATCCGTTGGCTAATAAACGACAATGTAAATTATATCAAATTTGTGTGCAATGGTGTTGTTTTCTGACCAAAAAATGGTATTATTAAGTATGGATTAGTTTGATTGCAGAGATCTAATATTTGTGTGATCACGAGTACTGTAATACTATTTTATATTTGTTCATATCAATAAAAAATGGCTGCACATGACAAGAGACACAAATCTTACGTCAGACATTTACGAATGGTTTATGTTTTGACACTATTTTCAAGATATTTGTGTTGTTCCCAAAGTGCTCGTGATAAGGAAGAAGCAATAAATGAAGAATAATATCAATCGATATCATAAGCCGGTGGATATTGTGCTTTGGCAAGTAAATATTGGCAAATAAAGTATGAATATTTTGAAGTAAGATAGATTCATTGACGAGGTACCAATTACAAAAAAAAAGAAATAAAAAGCATGTGTATTATACATTTTTTGTATCAGCATGGATTTCTATCATTTTTCTATCATTTATAACTATATTTGATTTATTACATCATGGGTTAAACACAACAAAAAAATTAACAGCGCATCTGGTTTATTCATAAGCTATTTGCTGAGTTAACGTCAGAAAGAACGATTGCCATTTTGTTAATGCAAAGCAAGTATAATCTATTGTATAACCGTACAAAGACAGTGTCTTACTAGAAGTGTTATCAAGTAGATATTTATGTTTTTCTTATCATCTTACAATACAGTTCACGCCGTCGTAGCAATATTCTGTGATACCTCTAAATTTACTAATATAATTGACATTTAGTAAGACCAGAGGGAAAACAATATATGCAAAATTTGATTATATCTTGTAAGGTTCTACATATTGATTGAAAAGTATCTGATTCGTTCTTAGTTTGAACCAGTTAACCAGCCTCAACCCTTCTCCTAATACTGCGAGAAAGGCGTCTAATGCGATTTTGAGGTTTGAGGTATATTTTGCCATTCTTGGTGCAGAGCTTGTTCTAGTTGTTGCAGGTTGACTACAGGTGGTTCGTACCATTGCAAAAATAAAATTAAATTAAAAGTTCAGTTGTGGTCTTATTGAGGTACAATTCCAAGTGTGAAGGGTTTGAGGCTATCATCCGGACACGTGACGGTTACAAACGTTATTAAAAATTTGGCCACATAATGTCATTTAGGTTACGTTATCGTCAACAATTACCAAAGATATCCACCAGTAAATGTTTTGTAAACGCTCCAACACCATACTTATAATCATTTACATTTTTTGTAAAAAAAAAACACACACACATTTGCTCATGCTTCAATAATTTGGTTAAGAATTAACTAAACTCATAAATTTACTGGTTTATGATTACTAAATTGGTATTGCTACTAACATGTATCAAATAACCATTTCTTACCTCAATAAAGTCGTCATCTCATGACAGTGCTTTCAACACAACATATCTTATATTTCCAGGGTGTGCTTAACTAATCTCTAGGTGTATATATGACGTAGTTTTATACCTTTTTAGCATATAAACAAATATTATAATTTCCCCATACTTTTATACCCTTATACTCTTTTATAGTTTGTATTGTTGTTTCGGGATATCTTATGAAGTTCTATGGAAATAATTAATTAAACTTTCGTTATATTACTTTTAGAGAACAGAACATTCTCTCAGAGAAATATGTATGTTAAAACAATTCAAACAATGTTTGATACCATTTCAGTAGATAATGAAGTTTTCTCAGGTAATGTAGTAGTAAAACAAATGTTTTATGATAGTTATTTCAATTCAGTTTATGAAAGATATCCCTTAAGAAATAATAGCATGCGCACGATATAATTACAAATATACAAAGCACAGTCATGAGAAGTAATTCCAACACTTAAATTATATATGTTTTTCAATTAAATACCTCTGGAAAGTGAATTAGATATTTCATCCATCTTGTTTTATGTTCATTAAACTACAATGCAATGCAAGTTTTCAAATTAACTTATCCTTTTCAAAGATTTTTTATGATTTTTGAACAAAATTTAGGAATCAAACAAAACGTGCATGTTCTTGAATTCCCAAGAGTGACGGAATTGGAGAGATAATCATAAATTGGTCAATTGAGCACAACAGAGTTAGTTCCCTTCCGAATAATGTGCACTTTAAGAATAACTAAAGATTTCTTTAATGCTACTTATTATTCTGCTTATAGTAAGAGAAAACTTTTTTAGGAATCCGTTTCATAAAGCTTCTATACAAGTCACCACTGAGTCGTCAAGTCAAAGCAAGGAATTCTCACAATTTGAGTTCATGGACTGTAATGTAGTTATTGGGCGGTACTCTATGAGGCTAGCGGTAATATACAGACCACCTCCTTCTAAACAGAACGGCTTGAATACAAACACTTTCCTTGATCATGAGTGGCCCCTTTTCTTAACTAAGTACGCTACAGTTGACAATTCTGCAATCATAGTAGGCGATCTGAACCTTCATCTAGATATACCAGACAACAACGATACGAGAAAATTTACAAGTAACCTTGATGCGTGTGGTATGCATCAGCATGTACAAGAACCAACCCATGTTGCAGGTCATACATTGGACGTAGTGATATCAAGGGAAACAGACAACATTGTATCAAACATAGAGGTCGTAGATCCTGGACTCTCTGATTCTAGTGGAAATATCTTACGTGACCATTTTGCTGTTACATTTGATGTCAAAGCCTCAAAACCTGCACCGGTACGGAAATTGGTTTCTTACAGAAAACTTCGCGCAATTGACATTGATTCTTTTCGAGATGACATACGGAAAATGGAATTCTTCAACAAAGAGTGTATCCCTTCTGACATAGATGGTTTTATGATGGAATATTCAGACAGTCTAACCTCTATTTTGGATAAACATGCTCCGATGATTAACAAGACTATTACATTGAGACCGGCTTGTCCGTGGTATACAGAGCAACTCCACGAAGCCAAACATGAAAAAACGTAAACTAGAACGGAAATGGCGTGAAACTAAACTTACAATAGACCATCAGATCTACAGAACACACTGTTCTAGTGTTAACAAGCTGTTAAAACAAGCTCGTGTAGAATACTATACAAGTAAAATAGAGTCTTGTGGCAATGATCATAAAAGTCTATCTAAGATTACCAAAGGTCTACTTGGAGATACAAATGAAGTGATTCTACCATTTGATTCATCTTCAGAGCGCCTTGCCCAGAAATTCAGTGACTTCTTTATCGGAAAGATTGAAAGAATAAGGAATAACATACGTTCTCAAACACAATCGGTACCGGATAATGTAGATATGGAATCTGAATATACGGGTGTCAAATATACTGTGTTTGCTCCAACCACAGAGCAAGAAGTGAAAGCATTGATTAAAAAATCAGCCACCAAATCCTGTGAGTTAGATCCCATTCCAACATGGCTGTTAAAAGAATGCCTAGATGAACTAACACCAGTGATAACCAGTTTTATAAACGTGTCCTTGGATGCTGCTTATGTACCAAAAATGTTCAAACACTCACGAATAAGACCACTTCTAAAGAAACCAAATCTAGATCCTAACGAACTGAAAAACTATAGGCCTGTGTCTAACTTGCCATTCCTGTCTAAAATCTTGGAAAAGGTCGTTGACGTACGACTTGAGAGCCATCTGAAGACAAATAATCTACACGAGGTCAACCAATCTGCTTATCGCAAGTTCCATTCGCCCGAGACTGCATTGTTAAAAGTTCAAAATGACATTCTACGGTCTTTGGATAATAACTTGATTTGTCTGCTGCTTTTGATACAATTGATCATGGAACGCTCCTTCGCCGCCTTGAACGACACTTTGGAATTACAGGCAAGCCACTCGCATGGATGACGTCATACCTGACCGACCGATACCAGACTGTATGCATAAACAACAAACTATCACAGCCAGTCCACATGGAGTACAGTGTACCTCAAGGGTCTGTCCTGGGACCCAAGAGCTATGTGATGTATACGAAACCTGTCGGAGAAATCTGCCGTAAACATGATCTAAACAACCATTTCTTCGCAGATGACTCACAACTTTATCTATCCTTCAAACCAGTGACTAATATTTCAATTCAAGAGAATATAAACCGTATTGAAAGATGTCTTGAAGATATTGTAAGTTGGATGAATGCCAACATGCTGAAGCTAAACGGCGATAAAACAGAGTTGATCATCTTCTCATCTGAACATAACGCACAACCTGTTTCAGATGTTACAGTAACAGTCGACGGTTCGAAAATTAGCCAATCATCTAGTGTGCGCAATCTTGGTGCATTTCTTGACTCGAACATGAGGATGGAACAACATGTAAATAATGTCTGTAGGAACTGTTATGCACAATTAAGACAAATCGGTCACATCAGACCCTATCTTACTGTTAAAGCAACCAAATCTTTAGTAAACTCACTTGTTACTTCTAGGTTAGACTACTGTAATGCACTGTTATATGGAGTCTCTAAGCAGTCAATGACCAAGTTACAACATGTTCAAAATACAGCAGCTAGAATTGTGACCAAAACACTCAAATATGACCACATAACACCTATCTTACGTGAACTTCACTGGCTTCCGGTAGAGTATCGGGTCGAACATAAAATTTTGACTTATACATATAAATCCCTCATCGATCAATCACCAGCCTATATAAAAGACATGATAGACGTGTACATCCCAGTCAGAAATCTGAGGTCCCAGAATAACTCAATGACATTAGTTGTGCCTAAATCTCGGACAGTACGATATGGTGACAGGTGCTTCCAGACAGCCGCAGCGAAATTATGGAACGCGTTACCACCTGATGTTAGAGACTGTAATACCTTGCCATGTTTTAAGAGAGCTCTCAAAACACATTATTTCATAAAGTTCTATGGACGTTAGTTCATAAATCATCATACATGTACTACTTTTGCTATATTATCAGTGTTAATTTTAATTGTGCCTTGATTTTAAACTAAATGTGTCTGTATTTCTTACCATCCTTTACTGGTTTTAGATTATCATTATTGTTTAATAGGTTTACTTAATTAATGTTGTACATTATGTCTTATATATATATATGATTATGTTTTACCGGATTTATGTAAAGCACTCTTGAACATTTATTATTTATGAAAAGAGTGCTATAGAAATGTGGTATATAATAATAATAATAATAATAATAAACAACAATGAAAATTATTTTCAATTTGTCTATGTACTGATGTTATTTTTTTAACAAAAATGCTATTAAGTATGGACTTGACTAAGCATTAAATCCATGACAGAAATCTAAATTTTGTATTATTAGAAGAACGTTAGAAAATAACATGTAAACTGACATACCATTTTATTTTTGTTTGTGAAAATAACACATTGATACAAATAACCATATATCCATAATGCTTACGTCAGACATTCACGAAAGCTTTACTTTTAAACCCTTGTTCAAGTTATTTTTATTTTCCCCAAAGTGCTCATAACAAGGACAAGCTTTTGATGAAGAAAATAGCAATCGATGTTAAAAGCGTTACATTTTATTTATATCTATAGGGTATTGTGCTTTGGCAAATGAATATTGGCAAATAAAGTATGAACGAGTTGACATAAGCTTTCAACGAGGTAATGATAACAAACAAAAGACAAAATACCAGCATGTGTATTTCTCGTTTTTGTGTCAGCCTAAATTTCTGTTGAGGTTATAATAACATGAATAACTATATTTGATTTATTACATCATAGGTTAAGCTCATCAAAACAATTAACAAAGCATCTGTTTTACTCATGCGCTATATGTTGAGCTAAATTCAGAGAGAAAGATTGTCATTTTGTTTGTTCGGGGTTAAATAGCAAAGCAAATTTAATATTTTATTACCGTGCAAAGACAGTCTCTTACTTGAAGTGTAACCAAGTAGATATTAATGTTTTACTATCACCCTAGTACAATACCTTTTACGTCGTTGTAGAAATATTATCTGATACCTCTACAGTTACTTACATTATTGTCATTTAGTATGACCAGAGGGAATACAATATATACCAAATTAGAATATATCCTGTTAGGTTCTACATATTGATTCAAATGTCTCTGATTCGTTCTCAGTTTGAACTTGCTACATGTAAAATGTAGTTGATAATTTCACGTAGTGTTCATTCTATCATTAAATTTGTATAACTTTACAAAATGAGATTAAAAAAGAATTGATTTTACTCTGCTGTCGGTTTCGTTTAAATCGACCAATGTTATCATTTGCCTCAACTATGTTCTATAAGAAGTGATAGCTTGCTCAAGATCTATTCATAATACATATAAAACATAGACAGGTAACTTTTAATTTAAATTATATTTTTGTAGGTAAAAGAAAATTTAAGATAGCAATAATTATGTTTTATGTTCAGTAAAGACATTTTTGTTTAAAACCGTTAGAATACATGATTACTTCAGCAAGATGCCTTTGGTGAGTGAACATAACATGATAGATTCATAACCTATGAGGATGAGTTGATTGTAAAAAGAACAATTATACAAATTAAGAACATATGTTTCAGGAGGCATAATATTTAACTGTTTAGTTTACCGCAGTATATGTAAGAGTAATACATGATATTTGCGAAGTGCATGTGTTGGATTAGTAATGACAGTTTGTTTTATATCATATTATTTTTTTAGAATTGTTCTTCATAGTTTGTGTAATAGAGAGTGATTGTCTTGTAGCAATAACATCTAACTGTAGAAAAATGAGGGATCAGCTGACTAACAAACGACAATGTAAATTATTTCAAATTTGTTTGTACAGTGTTATTTTTCAACAAAAACAAATGATGTAAAGTATGGACTTAACTTAGCGCTAAGTTTGATCGCAGACGCATAAAGTGTGTGTAATTTCGAGTACTTAAGAAAAACTATGTGAACTCACATACCATTTTATTTTTGTTTATGATAATAATAAATGGATACAAATCACTAAATACGAAATTATTCTCTTACGTCGACTCGTTCATACTTTATTCACTTATATTCACTTGCAAAAGCACAATACCCACAGGCTTATATTTTGATTGCGTCTCCGGTGATATTAATAAAATATAACGCTTATGATATTGATTGATATTATTCTTCATTTATAGCTTCTTTCGTACATAATGGTTACGCCAGATATTCACAAACGTTTTATGCCTACACACTTTTTTCAGGTTATTTTTATTTTTCCCTAAGTGCCCAGGATAAGAAAGAAGCTATAAATGAAGAATAATATCAATCAATATCATAAGCGTTATATTTTATTAATATCACCGGAGACGCAATCAAAATATAAGTCTGTGGGTATTGTGCTTTTGCAAGTGAATATAAGTGAATAAAGTATGAACGAGTCGACGTAAGAGATTAATTTCGTGACGACTTGACGAGGTTATGATAACAAATAAAAGACACAAATACCAGAATGTGTATTTTTGTTTTTTGTACAACCTAGATTTCTATTGAGGTTATAATGACATTTATATCTACATTTAATGTTTTACATCATAGGTTAAACTAATCAAAAGAATTAACAAACCATCTGTTTGACACATGAACTAATTGTTGAGCTCAATTCAGAAGAAGAGATTGTCATTTTGTTTCTTCGGGGATCAATATCATAGCAAGAAGTATGATCTGTTTATTACCCTATAAAGACAGGGTCTTAATAAAAGTGTTACAAATCCAAGTAGTTATTAATGTTTTTCTTAAAATCCTAGTACAATACAGTTTTCGTTGTCATGACAATATTCTCTGATATCTGTAAATTTACATAATTATATAATTATCATCTAGTATGACCAGAGGAAGTACAATATATACCAAATTAGAGTTTTTCTATATAAGGGTCTACATATTGATTTGTTTAAACCCAATATACGTACAATATTGTTGATAATTACAAGTATTGTTTATTTCACCATACAATTTTAAGATTTTAAAAACGAACTGATTTTGCACTGCTGCCAGTTTTAAAATCGAAATAAGTCTTCTCGTTTATATAGATACAACGTTATATGATTTGTCTCAATAACTTTCTTAAAGAAATGATATCTTGCTAACAATTTATTTATAATGCAAACAAAGCACAGTCAGGTAATTCAAATTCAAAATTATATAATTTTGTACCGATGAAACACCTGTTAAAAGAAAATTGCAAATGATATTTATCATGTTTTATGTTTAGCAAAATGCAGTTTTATTTTAAACCGTTAGAATACTTGCACAAGATGCCTTTGGTGATAGAACACAACATGAAAGAAATGTTTCTGACAAAGCTTTATGAGGTATTTTATACCGCCAGGTAACGTATTTTGTTTTGATATTGCCAGTCTGAAGCCAAAGTAATATATTTTAACTATCATAACATTCATGTTCATATTTCTTGTTATTGTTATACCCCCACCACAAAATGTGGGGGGGGGGGGGCTATAATGGATTCGCTTTGTCGCGTCGGTCGGTCGGTCGGTCGGTCGGTCCGTCCTTCCGTCCGTCCGTCCGTCTCCATTTCGTGTACGCTATATAACTCCTATACCAATTGAAGGATTTTCTTCAAACTTAGCTCAAATGTTCACCTTAACAAGAGGATGTGCAGAACCCATGTTGCCAATGTGTCAGCTCAAGGTCAAGGTCACAATTAAAGGTCGAATATCAAACACAATCAAATATTAGACAGTATGTCGTGTCCGCTCTGTAAGTCCTACAATAATTGAAAGATTTTCTTCAAACTTGGCTCAAATGTTCACCTCAACAAGGGGATGTGCAGAACCCATGTTGCCCATGTGTCAGCTCAAAGTCAAGGTCACAATTGAAGGTCAAATATCAAACAATCAAATATTAGACAGTATGTCGTGTCCGCTCTGTAAGTCCTACACTAATTGAAAGATTTTCTTCAATCTTGGCTCAAATGTTAACCTAAACAAGGGGATGTGCAGAACCCATGTCACCCTTTTGCCGGCTTAAGGTCAAGGTCAGACTTGAAGGTCAAAAATTGACTTAGAAAATATTCTTAAATTTTAACATTTATATGAATATTTCTGAATCTAGAAAAGGTATTTGCTTGAAACTTAAAATATATATGAAAGGTCACAATCAAGATATGCTGGTCAAGTTTCGTAACTCTGTATTGCATTTTAAGAAAGTTATGCCCCTTTTTTGAGTCTTCAAATTTACATACAATCAAATATTAGGCAATATGTTGTGTCCGCTCTATAAATCCTATACTAAACGAAGAATTTTCTTCAAACTTTACTCAAATGTTCACCTCAACAATGTTATGTGCAGAATCCATGTCACCTTTGTGCCGGCTAAAGGTCAAGGTCACACTTGAAATAGAAAATGTTCTTAAATTTTAACATGTACTTGAATATTTAGTTATGCCCCTTTTTAAGTCTTTAAATTTCCATACAATTAATACTAGACAATATGTTGTGTCCGCTCTATTAATTCTTTACTAATGGAAGGATTTTCTTCAAACTTTACTCAAATGTTCACCCCAACTGGGCGATGTGCAGAACCCATCTTACCCTTGTGCCAGCTTAAGGTCAAGGCCACACTTTAAGGTCACACTTTAAGGTCCAAAAAATATTTATACTTTTACCTCTACAATCAGTCTTTTTCACCAGAGATAATTTCTCTTTATGTATTTGTGCCACTTAAGTTATTCCCTTAACCACTTTTCCAAGTCGTCTTCTGTCAAGGACATTGGTGGGGGTATGAATCGCATTCAGCGATAGTTGTAGTTTTGCACTGTGTGAACGATAAGACATATTTCATAACATTTTGGTATAAATATCCTGATTATTTGATGCTAATATATAGAATTAGCCTTCTTATATATAACAATAAGAAAAATTGCATATCTTTACATATTTTGATTTTTGTTTATACTTATTTATTTAATTCGATTGGGTTGGAAGCTATAAGCTTATTGAAACGCTCTCATATCCGTTCCTGGAACCAAGCAGAACTAAGCAATAAGTGTAAAGTTTATCGCTCACGGATACAACAGCTTGTCCCTGACGGGGTTTAAAACCACACGGCAATCAATCCTTAAATCACTAGTCCGATGCGTTAAATTCTCGGCAACGCCGCCACGATGTCTAAGGACTCGTCATATATAAGTGCTGTGTTATTGATAGAGCAGATTTAATCTGAATATATAAAAATTGCAAACAAGGAGTGTTAGATAAATCGTTACATTTCTAATATTAATTTTGAAACTGTCCTTGCGTTTTGTAGCAATGATATCTTTGAGCAGTTTATGTTTAATTAAACTTCATTTTTTCTGTTTTAAGATAATTGTTCCTGCAATAAACATAACTGATGACAGTATGTAAGAGAAATATTTGCGACTGGTCGTACAACAAAAACGTGTGTGTTGTAATTATTTCAACGTTATAATACTGAACAATTTGCAATTATATAAAGTAAAGTCTAAGCTAATATTGTTTAGGAATTACAGGAAACAAAGACTGCTTATTTCAAGTAATATATAGGCTCAAAATATTATATATGTTGGTAATATGCATAAGAAAAGGATATTAATAATACATTTTGTCTAGTAAAGATAACGGATATCTTGATAATTGAAGGCATTTTCGACAACAATATAAAACATATAATATTTATAATATTTTATGTAATATGAATAAGAAATACTTGTCAATATAAGAGGAGATTTAGCTTATGTCAGACAGTCACGAACTGATTTAGTCTAATACCATCTTTACAATGACTTTATTTGTTCCCATAATGCTCATATTCTGTGTAAGGATGAATGAAAATAATAATAGACCGTATAAGACGACCCAAATTTATCAATATTTGATTAATGGTTTTGTAATGTGTTTTATAAACTATTCAAACTAGGTTTGATACAACCAGAGTAGTACATGATAAGCTGGTCTTATATACAGTCGTCACTAGAATGTTTAAGAGTGATAAATGTACGATTGACAGGCAAACAAAGATATTGCATATTGTAATATCTACCGAAAAGTCTTATTTAGATTTTGAAACAGTTCTACTTTAATTAATTGTGTATACCTATTATATAGACATCAATCAAACCAATGTGTGAAATGTGATGCAAGAACAAAACTATCTTATGTTGTAATAGGTGTCTTCAAGATTTAAACAAAAAAGAAAATTATCTAGTTTAAACATGTTTTATTGCTTCTTAATAGATTAATGTTGTTCACTGTGAATGACATCATTTTTACAATAATTTGACAGATATTAATTTTATTTTCAAATAGATAATGAATACAAATTGAATTCTAGTCCAAATTAAAGTTTATGCATGGTTTATGCATAAAATATGTTATAATTTAACAGCATATCGAGAGATATTAAACACGTCATTGAGGATAAATGTTTGCCAAATGTTCCAAATATATTACATATTTTCAGAATATAAACAAATATTTTATATTTGCAAATAATCTTTCCTTATACAAATCATGATTACTTGAATATCCGTACACTAATTTACAGTTGTTTTGGGATGTCTATGAAGTTTCATAGGATTAAATAATAAACCAAACTTTCTTTTTATTATTTACAGAGAAGAGAAATCAGCCCGTTTATTGTCTCAGAAAACAATTTAAACACAGTTTGATATCATTTCAGTAGAGAATGAAGTTTCTTCATGCAATGTAGTTATTAGAACGCTAAGGGTAAAACAAAAATATTTTATGAAAATAAGTATAATTCATCTTTTTTAATTATAAAAGTACAAAGCACATCAGGAGCAGTAATTCCAACAATTAAAATTATATTTTTATTCAATTAGATACCTCCTCGAGTGAATAAGAAATTTCATCTATCTTGTTTTAATGTTCATTAAACCTCTTGTAAATATTAACCGATAGAATACTTTGTATTGATACTATCAACATGGTGCACATAGGGGGTTAACACAACATGAATAAACATACTTCTGCAAAGGTTTTATATGGTATTGTTAACCGCCAAATAATGTATTTCCCTCTTGAAACCAAATATAATACTGATTAATATTTGATAACCCTTTATCACATTCTAAAATCCATATTATTATTATTCTGTACACTGTGTACGATTAGAAATATTTCATTACATTTTCTTATAAATATCCTAGTATACAATAAACAAATAACCTATTTATTACATATCCGGATGTGTTGTTTGTGAAAAGAACAATTATACAAATTAAGAACATATTTCAGGGGGCATAATATTGTGTGTATTCAT